TCCAAGATTTGAGCCAAGGGTATGCTGCTCGATGACGATGGCATCTGCTCATCTCCACCCTCTGTCCTTCCACGCCAGGATTTCCCTGGCTTCAATGCAGTTGGTCAGTTCAAGTTTGCCTGAGCCCCAGGTTGTACCACTCCGGAAGCACTTTTGGCTAGGGGATATGCAAGGCTTATGGTTTTGGAGATGAGGTTTGAGGTTTTCTTCCGCAAGGCCCGAAATTTTGGGTACGCAGTTCTCCGATAGGTGCTGTTGTGACTCCAGTTGTCTAGCCACCCATGCTAGCCCGCCCATCGAGCAACGACCTGGCATGTTTATGAGTCGGCAGTCGGCGTTCATGAGACTTAGGGCTCAGACGTGTTTGGCTCCGAGATCCATGCTTCTTTGCTTTTTTCCTGCTCTAAACCCTGAAGCTTGAACCCTAGGCTTGATTGATTTAGGCAATTGCTTGAGTGGTGTCCTCAACTCGGCACTGGTGCACTCCGGATCACGTGATGTTTCTACGAAGACTTTTCAGCTGCTACCCGAAGCGCTCCACAGCCCACTTACTTCCTAGGGCAGCAGCATCCAGGAACGTCTCCCCAGTCGTGTTCAATCACTCACCCAGTTCCACAGAACCTCTCTTTGGGTGAAATGTCTGAATAGGCTAGACGTGGTGCGCATGAGTAAGTCAGCGTTAAAATGAATCGATATCGCCGCAGGGTTCCTCTCAAGGCTTATCGATCTCTTCAGTCGCTGTAAGGTTGATCGTTCAGGATATAGGATTGGTGACGTTTCCACTTCCTATTCATCAACGCGTGGTTACTTATGGCTTGCAAGCACCGTACTACTGGAGGATGATGACCAGAGGCCCTAGTTTGAAAATCCGCAAGGGCTTTGTGTTGCAGAACTTGAGTTCAGATTGTCGAAGAACCGCAGAAACTTGCAAGACTTTGAAGTAAGTAACCCCAGCTCCTTCATCGACAATTTCAAGTGCAGCCCTGAAGCCCTCCACCTAGAATCGCGCTTTGACGCCATGTCGCCTGCACTTCGGCTTTCGTACCTGCCTTTTCGGGCGATGGCGGAGACTACACGATTTATGCACCCCGACGGAATGGAAACCTTCACGGTACGTATATAGGGGGCAGGATCGAGGATTCCATTGTTTGAGGTTTCAAGTCTTGAGGACTGTAAGGGCATGTAGCACCTGCCGCCTACGCCTAGATTGTATGTATTGCTGAAATAGTCCTGCAGCGCTGCATGGAAACATGGGGATATTTCAGGAATGAAGGTTCCCAGCTCGTAGGCGGCTCTGGGGTCAAGAGTCTCTATTCCAAACCGTACCCCCTTGAGAGTCCTGACCCTTTCGCCGGCATCTCAAGTGAGCGAAGTCTGACCACACTGCTGAGGTTTGTCTTTAAGTTTCCATCATTTTCTTCTCACCCAGGTACAGCCTGATACGGCTTCATGCTCTCCACCAAACCAAGAAATCTTGAGGGAGCTAGTACACGTGGTCTTGCATGTAGAATCCCTGGCCATCGCCGACATGGCCCAGCCTGGATGCTTTATACTGCTGCGGGTGTGCTGACTTGGCTTTGGAAAGCCGGGTCTGCGAGAAAGCTTTAGAGCAACTGCAGCTGAGCACAGTATGAAGACAGGGAATAGAGTTTGATGGATCCTGCGGTTTGAAGCTTGGGCTGCGGCAGTTTAGGGTGTATGGCCTCTCATTACTTGGAAGCAACTCAGAAACCAGTTCTTTCAATTTCGGGAGGGTAGGTGATCTTCACACTGGCAGGAGGGTATGAGAACCTTCAGAATGGTGGGTCATATACTGAAGTGCGATTCTTCATCCTTCTAAATTAAGTTTGCTTTTACCCTCAAATAGGCACGGCACTGAATTGAGGGTCTAAGGTCAGCGTGTAATGGCTTTGTATGGGAGACGCCCTGCGAAAGCTGACCCGGAACAGCGTCAAAATGTTCCTGCTTGGCATGAACCCATGTCAAATATGAAGTGCCGTATGCACCCTTCCAGACAAACAAGCAGAACACACGAAATAAGCGCAACTGCAGCTCGGAGGTTCAGATACGGCGGTGTAAGCTATGACGACGAGGCTTTGCGTTGCAGTGAGAGAGGTTTGGAGTTGATCTCCATGTGTGGCGGAGGGTTCGGGGAGTTGTTCAATAGAGAAGTTCTTGATGAGGTCCATGGCTTTGCTTGAGCTTCTTAGAAGAGGGAGAGGGTGTTGAATCCTGCCAGCAACGGAGGATCTCAGGGTGGGCCTTTTTTGTACACATACACTGCGTCTCTCCTTGATTTACATGAGAAATGGTGCCAATATGTTGGAGGGTTGCAAAAAAGTGGCTTCAGTACTCAGTACTGAAGCCTAAACTACACCCAAACTGCCAAGCCCTAATGGGATGCTGCTTCTTCAGCCCTGACCTGGTCCAAGAGTCCAAGCGGCATTATGTCTGTTGTACATAGCCCTCGAAGGTTAAGTGCCTGTGGGTCATAAGAAGTAGGCTGGAACTATGCATTGCCTAGTCCTTCCCCGCTTGCAGTTATCCATGAACCACCAAGATTTTTCAACAAACTGGAGCTGCAGCCGCTACACCCATGAAATGGCGGTTCTGAACAAACCGATCCCTTAGCGCCCCAGAAGCAGACTGCCACTTACTGGAAACGCCGAATCATGCAACACTACCCCAAACTCATATCTAACGTCTACTTGCGCCTTGCTGTGGGGGCGTTGCTCTCGCTTCAGTAGGGCGGACGTTTCAACCTCCTTGGCTGCAGCACAGGATGAGTCACAAACTTGGAAGACGTTATCCCATACATTCAGTCACGTCCCTGTGCCGAAGCAAAGGGCGCTCGACATACATTTCAACACTAATCACAACTTTCCTGGGTGTCAAACCACCCGCAGATAGGGTCGAGGGTTAGGCTTTGAACGGTTCAGGTTTGGGCCTTAAGCGGTCAGGGACTGGGAGTAGGGAAAGCTGAAGATCAAGTCTCGAGCCGTGCCAGCTCGTTTGGGGCCACGTCTTCAGTGATCGGCGTGCGAGAGGCGGGAAGTGTCGGGTTGAGAGTGCAGAGGATGGGGCTTATACTTACGCTTCGTTGAAGATACATGCAGATAAGTACTGCTTGAACAGATGTGTGGGAAGAGATCTGAAGTTCTCTCTGTGGGAGTCAAGGTCATTCAGAGCCTTTATTGTGATCATACCATTTGAATGTTTCAATGACCAAGAGGCAATCATGCTTGTTTTCTGTGTAATTTAGGTGGCCCCTGGCCTACATAGCTTGGTCAGCTGCAGCTCAGGTGAGTATCCGTTTGACAAGGTGCCGGTTCTGTATATCGATGGGCGCGTGGTGGCCCAAAGACGCTCCACAGAACTAAGGGAGGAGACAAGGCAAAGCTTACTTCAAAGTTCTTAAAGGAGGCTCTACAGGATCATTGGTATGCGCACTCGTAGGCTTAGGATTGTTGAGTTCATGACTCGTGTTTTGGTACGAAGACTCTCGAGCCTGAGCTAAGCCCACCTAAACTGGACCATGTCTGAGCTGCAATGTGAGGAACGGTGTCCTGCAGAACTCTGATACTGGATGGCGACGCAGAAGAGGATCACAGGGATGATAAATCAGTCTGCCCCTCTATCCGCGCGCAACCTCCACTGTCTTCCTAACAGAAAGATCGCGTTTATGGGGACTATCGAGAGCTCCGTCGGGACTAGTTCCTGCAATCGTTTTGGCATGATAAGGAGACTGTGTGCCACATGTCGGTGTAGATGTTGGAGGCCGCGAATACTGGACAGCCCTCAAGCGCTGCGGAAATTAGGCCGAATTGTTGGTGAACACAGGAATATTTTTGAATTTTAATTCATTTTGAATATGCTAGCCGCTTCTTGGCTAGGAATAGCATGGAATCAAAGAATAGGTCACAGCAAGTCGTTCTGGAGATGGAGAGCTCATCTTCTTCCTTAAAGCTGTCTCGCCATGGGGAGCTCTAAAGCTCCCACCTTCAACTCCAAACTGAGGTGGCTCTATTGCGCGCTTCGCCGCCAAACTAGCTGGATGCCTGATGTCCGCATTGGAGATGGATGTTCTTGGTTTGAGGTTTAGTTCGAGGCAAAGTAAAAGGCTCGTTTGTTGTTTCCAAGCAGATTCCTGTCATCCATTCCCCTGTCAATTAGTCGCCAGCCAGGCATGTTGGCAGTAGCTTCTGTTGTCCTGCTATGCTATTGTGGCGAGCCAGATGCCAAGGCAAGCGCCAAAGGAGATTCCAGGCTCATCCTGAATATATCTTGTAAGTTTTGATTGTGCTTGCTATCACTGTTCTTTCTCAAGGTTCCAGGGCAGCATGATGGCGACTCACAGACTCCCTCAGACATCATTTGCAAAAGCAAGTCCTTGATTGTCCGTTGCTCGAGGCTTGCTATAACAACGTTTTGCTGATGGTTTGTGTAAGCACAGACTAGAAGCGGAAGCTGTCTTGTACACCTGTTGGGCGCTGCAGTCTCACCAGTTCGGCAAAACATGTCAAGTCCCCATAGGAATCTGTTCTTCTGTGGCCTTGCCCAATGAATATTCGGCATGCAGCGTTGAACATGTTAAACCAACCTTTAAGACCTCGGCCTGCGGATTCTAAGCGTGCGTGTTACAGGCGTAGGCTCAGAGGATACTGATAAAGCCCAGTCAACTCTGCCAGGAGGCTTCTGATTGGGCACGAGTTACCTTGGTAGCCACACGCGTCCATCGCTGACTTTTGTGGCCGCGTACTTTGGTTTCTGGTGACAACGAAACTCCACAAAGGCCGTATGCTTGCAAAGTTCACCCCGCCGATCTACATCGGAAAAGCTCCACAACCCTGGCCACCCATGCGCTCATTAAGTTCCCATAGGCCCAAAGGTGTGCTCAGAAGAGACCTAAGTCGACATTTTCAAGCCTGAACTTTAAGATCCCAGCATCAGGCTATCCTGCCGACCCCGCAGACTGTGCAGCCAGCGATGCGGTGTTTGAGATGGCGCAGGTCATGGCTTTGGGGTGTTGGGGTTCATGGTGCGATGTCATTGGGATGTCTACCATGATTCTGTGCCCTTTTTGCCTTGCTGTTTTCGGGAGATGTGCAGACATGCTACATGTAAAGTGATGGGCTGCTTGCCAACAGAGCAGTAGTCTCCCTACCTGGCCTTGCCTAATAAGGCGGAGCCTCACTGCTCACAGGCTTCAATCAATCAATCAGTCAATCAATCTACCGTGCTCCAGAGGAGCCTTAGCATAAGGAGCCTTGAGGGGGACCATACGGGCTTACGGACTAGGCGAAAGGATATGGGTTGATATTTGGAGTCTTGGGTCCATCACGTAGCTATGGGCTGCAATCTTGAAAAAAGGAGATTTGCCCCTCGTAAAGGTATGGGTCCACCTGAGAAGAACCTGAATCAGCCTTTCGTCGTGGCCTTCACTCAGTAATGTTCAAAGTTGTTCGCCACTCAAGGCTCGCCTGGTGAGTTCATGCTGACTTGCTCAGGAAAACGGACAGCAAAGAGTGCATGAACAGTCCTGGCAAGAAGAATTAGTTTGATCACCAACATCATCAAAAAGGAGAAGTGGAGGAAGAAGAAGATAAGTAGAAGTAGAAGAAGAAGTAGAATCAGAAGTAGAATCAGAAGAAGGAGTTGTAGTAGTAGTAGTAGTAGTAGTAGTACTACTACTACTACTAGGTCATGGCGCTTTGTTTTGCCGTGGGTTATCGCGTGTGAGCGGC